TGCTTCTATTTCTACCCCTTCTATTTGCCAGGAATTGATGGGTCCAGATGCCATGATCTTATATATTATCATATATACCCATCTTTAATAGGCATTTTTTTCTCATTCATAGCTTCTTTCACTTCTTCATTCTACCAAGAATATATTTTCATGCTATCTATTTGAGCCACCTAAGAAGGAAAGGCTTGTTGTGACCGCAGCTTGGAACTTCCTGCTGACTTCCCCATTGACTTTGCTTGTTGGAAGCCAGCAAGAAGTTGCAAATTGCAGTCACATGAAGTCCTCACTTAACAACGGCAACAAGGACTGCTAGGATTGCCGTCACTAAGTGGCATGATCACGTGACATCACACTTTGCAACTGCATCGCTTAGCAACAGGAATTCTGGCCCCAATTACTGTTGTAACCCGAGGACTACCCGTATTTCAAATTTTAAGTTCATGAGAGTTTGGGTTCACAGGACATGATCCAATACACAGTACACAAAAGCTTCATTGTGATTTCTTTTCCCCTGTTTCTTAACAGAGATTGCCAAATTTCTTAATTTTGTTTTCAGGCAAATAAAGCAACTTATATAGTCTTTCATTAAGGCAATTCATCAAACATGATTTCTTCCTCTGCACCTTCCTCCTTAGAAGTCCAGAAAAAACCCCCCGCCAGTATTTAAAACTGGAATACCTTGCAGGTAACTTCTTTTGAACAGCATACAGAATAGGTTAATAGCTACTGAAGTCACATGTGATCTGGGCCTATCTAAACTGGGCCAAACCAGTTACAGGCTCATTTGCATTCCCTATGAAACAGCTGGGGTAGTCAATTTTGCTTCAGGGTGGGTATAGGACCTGGGTCTCTGTTTCCTTTTTCACTGTTAACAAAGTCAGAATTTGTGGGGATCGAGCAGAATTTATGCTTAGTTATGCTGATACACTTAATTCTAAGGAGTTGTTTCAGGTCATAGACATTATGATCTTTTTTATGAGCCAGGGTCACTGTTGTTCACCCAGCCCAGTCTTCACTTGCATTGACTCTTGTGTTTGTTACCTGTGTTGAAGGAGTAAAATGGTGATAGTCAGGATAGGCAGATCACACACACACTGCAAGTCACCTTTCCTGGGCCCTCTTAGAGAAGCAATAAAAATGCTAATTTGGCCATAAAACAGTTGGAAAACAAAAGAATGTTAATAATACCAAGGAAGGAAACCGGAGAAAAACTATGGGAGATAAGGCCAAGAGAGGTAAGACATAGGGAGAAATAACACACTAAACAGTAACCTTTATTCTGAAACACATAGCCTTTGTTTTCTCAATAAACCATTGTCTTTGTAGTTTTACCTTAATTATCTCACTATTCCTGACCTCACAGATTACAGGTATACTTTGATTTGCATAAACCTATATAAAGGAGTAGCATCCCTGCATTTTTTCGGTTTATATTTTATTGCAGCCTCTGGTACTGAAATAAATGCAGTGTGATTCTAAAGGATATTGCATTCCTTCCAAAGTTGCCATAAATTTCCACTTAAAATCTTCACAGACTTCTCCCTCCTTTCTAGCAATTCCTTTAGAATCTTCTTTACACTGATTATATCCTGAAGAACCTTGGTGATTTCTTTGGCTAGAACATGTTCTTTTCAGAAGATGCAGAGGTTTCTTGGTTGTTATGGGCTACCAAAGAAAGCTTGCTTTTCCGCAAACAAGAGCTCATAGGTATCAGTCACCACAGGTTCAGCTTCTATGTAATCTGACAATAAGGAGCCCATTTTATGACAATCATAGTTTGCATACCCTAGGACTTCAACTTGATTGTAGTTGTCCTCTCAGCTTGATACTATCAGAAATCTGCGTAATGTGATCCCCTAACTTTCTTTTAATTTCTTTTCTTTTTACAGAATTTTATAAGAGTGAGGTCATAAAGAATTCACTGGTAAGTTAACTATTATGGTTATTAAGGTTTTCCTTTTAATCTTCTCCTCTAAACTGTCTAATGTTTACTAAACATGAAATTGAACTATTTTTTCCCATGTGACTCCATGTGCTTGGGAGTCACATGGGACTGTCTATATTACTACATTAAACCAGAGACTGCTAATAGCTTTTGAAGAGGTTTTATGGATCATAGTATGGAATGCTTTTCTACAGAAGGCAGCCACAATAATCCGAGGGAAAGTTTGGGGCTGCTTTAAGGGGTTGCAGCCTGAGACATCTACAATAATAGTAATGGGCTTCAAAATGGTGGACATGACTGGGTGAGCAAAGCTCCATCCCTTTTTAATGTGTATTGCATGCATTGCATGGAAGAAGAAGGGATGGCACTTCAGTTGCCCAGTTCTACCTGGCATTTTGAGGCCAATGTTTGTCGCTATGGATGCTCCTGGTATAACTGGTGTAGCTACCTGGTTTAGCCAGGTATAAGTGATAAGTATTCAAGACATAAGATGAACATGGCTGTAATGTGTCCGAGAAGATAAATTTGTATTAAGGTCGCAGGGAATTATAGAGGTTGGACTAGGAATCCTTGTTAGATTTCCATGATTGTAATTGGGATGCTGTTACTGAGAAGGCCCTACTCCTTGATACTGCATTTGAGCCAAACCAACCTGAAAGACTATGAGAAGGGCCTCCCCAGCAGATCTGAGGGAACAGATTGAATGGTAATGGGATGTGTGTTAAGTCCTTGGCTCCTAGAATATTTAAGGCTTCCTAGACTAATACCAGCATACAGTGTTAGTAATAATTTGTTTTCTGTCTTTTGTATTGTGGCTTTAACATTTTTGTTAGCCACCTTAAATGCTTGTTTGAGCTGAAAGACAAGGGGTATATTGAACAAATAAAAAACCAGCACCTTATATTGATCTTGAGAGTTCACAGGTAGCCAGTTATTGTTTTTTCATGTTGTATCATGTAATAATTCGGCAGCTGTAGTCTGAATCACTTTACAGCTTCTGGACCATCTTCAAGAATAGCTCCATACTGAGTGCATTGCAGTAATCCAGTTGTGAGATTAATTAGGAAATGAATCACAGAAGCTAGTCTGTTTTGGTTCAGGTAAGGTCATAGCTGATGCATCACTCGCTAGTGAGGCTATCTCCATCTCTAATGACAGTTTGTAATTAAGAAGAGCTCCCAAACTGTATATCTGTCCCTTTGGAGAAAGTGTTTCCAGTACAGGCAGTCTTCCTAACTGAAGAGAATATATGTAGCTCAGGGTTGAACTGTGGAGTCCTTGGTGTTCTCTGAGCGTGGTTGTTTTCTTGCAGACGTTTCATTGCCTGTCTAATACCTTTAGTGCTAGAAGGGAGTGGGGTTTGCTAAATTAGGTGCTAGAGCACTGCTAGATTCAGTGCTATATTGGAAGTGGGGTAATGAAACATCTGCAAGAAAACAACCAAGCTCAAAGAACACCAAGGACTCCACAGTCTTCCTAATTCCCAGGTGTGATACACATATCCCCATTAGGCCTCTGCAGCACTTTGGATTCAGATGAAGAGGCATTAACCACTCCCTGGATGTACCCAATAGACTTTCCCTGCTGGATCCTAACAGCTCCCATGGACAAGGATCTAGAGCACAAGTCATTGGCCCGGCTCCCAGTAGCATCTTCTTTTATTCCTTGTCCTATTCCAAATGAAACTAATCCCACCAACTCTGACCAGCTGACACCCCCATAAATGTAATGGGTTCTGCAATAACCTTGTCTAACTCAGAGCAAATGCAAATGGCTTGACCTTCAAAGTTCTTTGGAAATCTGTTACAGTATGCTACTGAGCAATTGGCTGAGTCTGCATCAAGACTAACTTTGAGCAGCCCACCCACCATCTTTGGAAGCCTTTTTGGACATATATTAATACCTGTGTGGGAAAATAATCTGGAATATTTACAGTTCATTGTCTCTTCTTTCACAATGACAGAATCCAACATGGCGAAGCCTTGACTTTGGTCTAATGCCTGATCGTCTTGATACGTCTGTATCCTGTTTTGTGGTGAGGATATGGGGTGGCAAGAATGATACCTATCAGCTACTGATTGAGTGGAAAGTCAATCTAGATGGACTCAAATATTTGGGCCAGCAGGTAAAACAAAAGTGTACTGTTTCAACTTGGGTTGGATATTTAAAGATATTTTCAACAAATACCTGTTCATGGAATAGCTAAGAATTGTTGCAAGATATAAAGTTAGCAAATGCTGGACAGAATTGTGTTAGGATAATAGGAATTAATCACTAATTTTGAAAGTTGACTATCTGCAGATAGAAGTACATTGAATTTGCTTGTTCATTATCTAGCCAAATTAGTCAAAGTTCCAGATGGTTAGCTTTGGGTTTATAAGCAGTAGACTATGAATAGTGAAGGTTTAACAAATTTATTGTGACATTAGATTTTGTGGGATGACCTAGGCCCCTGAAAGCTAAGGTTATAATTATGTGTTTTTAAGATATCTTATAATGTTCGTTGTGGCCCAGAAAGTGACTCTACTCATGGGATCAAGTTTCAGCTTCTTCCTTTCCCCTCTATAGGGTCAGTGGTGAACTTGAATAACAGAAGGATGCCACAAAACAAATTATCCCTACAAAGAATGCTACTCTGAGTGCTAAAAGAACTAAAACAATGGCTTTAAAATAAGCTGACTGAATCTATGACACTGGTTTTAATTAACAGATACATGCTCGTAGCCCGAATGAAATCATTTTTGGGCTGAACGATGGTTATTATGGAGCCTTGTATGAACAAAAGGTAAGCATACACCCACTGGGTGTTTTTATATCCAGTGGAATATTTATTGTTGGGTACCTAGAGTCAAGCTATAGACTGGAATGGGCTGCTTAAAACTTCATTGAGGAAGATGACAGCCATTATTGTTAAAAATGCAGTCCTTAGGATTTGATACTGACCACGTGTGATGTTCCTCTTTTCTTTGGAATGTAGTTCAAAACAAAAATGGTACAAAGTTTTGAACATGCTTAGACATTCTAACAATTTCCAGTGATCTGGCTACAATAAATTCATGTGTTATTATTGCATACACTTCAATGGTCCACTGTCTACTATTTCCCAAATAGGGAATAGTATATGAGACCAGAGGGAGATGAAACAAATAAAATGTAGATAGTGATGATTACTTCATTGAAGGTGACTGTTCTCAAAACAGTTGTTGTGACAGATACTCCTTCATTAACATGTCAAGTATAATAAATCTTTCATCTCTTTTAATTCACAGAAGATAGAATTAAATCTCTTGATGAATTGAACTTGGCTTTTTTATGATAGGGATGGTCTTTGTAATTCCTTTGTTAAAGAATACTTACTTTGGGCCAGTGAGACTCTCTTGGATAGCCATTTCTGATGTCAGCTTTGTGCACAGGGACTGGTCAATAGAGAATGCAGTGGACATAACTACAGATGAACGGGTGTGTGAACACCTCTGTGTGACATTATCAGGTCCTAAAATAGTATTTCCAAAATATTTATTTATTTAGGAAATGTATATAGTTGCCCAGTTTGAACAATTGTGACTCTGTGCAGTGTACAATCAACAAATAAACAGCAACAAACCAGTATGATTAAAAACAGCAACAGAAATGAATTGATATTTGGGAAGCCAAATTTATCTTACAACCTTCCAGGTGGGAACTCCCACCAACTTGGTTCCAATGCCAAGGAAAAAATCCAGTTTCTAGTGCCTTTCTGAAGGCCTGTAGGGTTGGAACCAGTTGTATATTTGGGAAGGGTGGGGGGTCATTCCAGAAGAGAGCGACTGCAATGGAAAAGCATATTTCCTGCATCTCACCAGATGACATTGGTTCTTGGAAGGAACCCAAAGTATGCTCATCCTGTTACAGCATGTAGAACAGGAAAATACTATCAGGGACCTGCTGTCCTGCCAATATCACAATCGTGTGCCATGGAGGCTTTATACGTGATAACCAGCATCTAACTACCCATGCTGATGCCTTCTGGACAAATGGTAGCTTCTGGGTGGTTTTCAAAGACATGAAATAAGGTAATCTACGTTAACTGTGGGAAGGGGTGCTCCAGGATATTATAAACCTTTTGCTCCAGATAGGTATCTTGAGATCAGTTACGAAATCCAATTCAGGTGCAAAACAGTGGAACTAGAAATTATCAGGAGTTTTTAGCTCTTTCTTCTGGATAAAATGGAGATAAAGGACTCTTCATTACATTACAATTCTTAATCAGCTTACAGATGTAGATATTTGTGTAATAGCCAACACGTTTGAGAGTATCAACCAGCAATTATTATTATTCCTCCTGTGCTTCCTCTCCCTTCTATTTTATCAGTTACCAGTCCTTTCTCCCACTTGTGTGGATACATGTAAACTCTTATGGTAACAATCTGTGTGCCATTGGAAATGGATCATAGGTCATGAAATTTTTATTATGCTACCTGTTGATTTTTAAGATGCCACAAAACTCCCATGTTAACCTTTAAAGCAATTTTGGACAATAGTTTGGTGGAAGCTAGCATTCATTTCAGTTGGATAATGCAATAGCCATATTAATGGCTAATGAGGAGCACTAGAGTGCTATAATATGATGTTTCTAGCCTTTCTTCCTGTGAGGTGATCTTTCCATAGTTGCCAAATTTGATGCCATGAAGATGTGGGTGCTTGTTATGCAATGTACAAGGAGATAAATTGCTTGCATTTAGCTACTATAACACCATGGGCTTATAAGTGTTGAGGCTTCCCTTTGTCAAGAGAAAAACAGGCGCCTTATACTTACAACTGTATGCTCCTGAGTCTGCTTACAACTTAAAAGTGGGTATGTACACTTACTCACTGGTTTTGATCCTAAAAGTTAGGAGAAGGGTAAGAAGGGTTAAGGTTTGAGGACTAGTCTGTGTCCATAACTTCTAAAAATCATGAATACGTATGACACATTGGCTTGCAGAATATCTGTTTTCAATTTTATAGAAATCAAGTTAACTGTCCAGTGCAACATAATAAATAAGGATAGAGATGGCTTGGAAATAAAGAGAGTTGGTAGGCATGAATATCACGTGTAAGGGGTGGTCTATAAATACTGTGTGTGGACGAAACACGTGAGTAGGGTTTTTGTTAGGAAAATAGGATCTAATTTCAGTGTTACCAAAACAAAAATGTTAATGTTCTGTCTCATTTGTCTTTAAGGGCCTCTCAGGAATCCAGAAGAATAATCTTCTTCAGGTGGATCAAAATTGTGTGCGTAACTCATATGATGTCTTCTCTTTGCTAAGGTAACTTCTAGCTTCCAACTAAGAAGCAGCTTAACTGAACATAGCATACTTTCCAAGAATGTTTTCCAATACTGTGCGAATCCTTAGTGATAGTCCTAAGCTCCTTTTGTAACACATTGGAAGTCTAACCTCAAGGCCTCCTTAATGTTAGGATGCACTTGTTTTTTTTTGTATACTAGAGCACACGGGGATTTTTTTTTTTTATCAGAGATCATATTTAGCGTGAAAGTTGGTTTGTTTTGCCATCAGTGGAAGGAGGTGAAATGTCATTGTTCTTGATAGGAACGGGCTTGTGGGTGGTTCTGAGTACAAGATTGGCTTGTTTGTAGCAGTTGCCTGATATTATAGCTGAATGCTGTAGTCAGCTATGACTTGCTTTTTGTGGCATCTCGGTCTGTACTTATGCAATATTCTGGAAAAAACAGGATTACTTACTGGGGAACATGAGGACAGGCATACCTTGTTTTATTGCACTTTGCAGATATTGCATTTATCTTTTTTTTTTCCTGTAATACTCACTTTATTTTTTATTATAACTTTATTATTTTTTTTTAAAGAACAGTAAAAAGAAACTTAACAAAACTAGTATTAAGAGAAGACTATAGAAAGAGAATTACAGAAATAAGAAGTATGAAAGATTAAAAAGTGTGAGAGACAAAAAAAAAGAATCAGAAAGAAAAAAAGAATTGTCTTCTGACCCTCCTCACAACAGATATAAGTATCAATATCCGACTCTTACTCTAAGTTTAAAACATAACTTCCATTATTTCTATTAATCTGTATTATTTCTAATCATCAAATCCATACAACAAAGCAGATACTGCGTTTATCAAACAGCATTGCATGCTACAGAGAAATCTTTCATGAAGAGTCAATCGATGTGGCAAACTTCATTGTTGTCTTATTTTAAGAAATTTTTAAAGTAAGGAATGTACATTTTTTAGACCTAATGCTATTGCACACTTAATAGACTACAGTATAGTGTAAACATCGCTTTTATATGCACTAGGAAACCAAAAAATTTGTGTGACTCATTTTATTTCAATATTCGCTTTATTGCAGTGGCCTAGAACTGAACCTGCAACATCTCCAAGGCATGCCTGTACGCTGTTGGTCATCAGTGCTGTTATGGGCTTAAACTGTCATGAAATCGATTACCTAGGTTACCCTTCTCTAATCCAGATTGCTGGATTTCAGCTCACATAGTCTTCTCCCTTGTTGGCTGAGTTAAGAGAGCGCACTGCATCTGTAGTGCACAAGGCTTAGGAGTGCTGAGCTGGCACAGCTTCCTATAAGGATCAAGCCTATTTGTTCCTTACAGGCAGTGATTGCTGTTGGACGTGAGGATGACTTTGCTGGCAGCTGAAGTGGACTTTATAGTAGGTCTGTGCAAGGGGCTTGGATTTGGCTTGACAGAACTTTTGTGGTCCTTTTTGTCAAGACTGCATGGTGACATGCTTTGGGTTACCCTAAAGTCTCCTCCAAGATGTGCAGAAGCTGCTTCTGATTGTTGCATACGCATGACAGCAAAGCAAAGTATTGTCATTGTGTCTTTTCATGCTTAGAAGCAAGGGTGGTAGGAGTGGTGTTAACATTGCATTTTAAAGTAGCTTTTCTTCACCCTTTGTCATGGTGAAACACCCTCTGAAACCACTGGGTCTTAATTGCTTTTTAAAAAGTTAAGAGAGTTAGGACCCATCAGCTATCCAGGTGGTTACTGTTCCAGAGGAGTGGGGAGAGGCTGAGAAGATCTGATCTTGAGGTCCTGCAGATGGCATTCTGTTAGGGTTGGGACACAGTGGGCAGGCAGAGACCCCTGAGGGAGTACAGTTCTGTAGATATCCAGGCCCTGAACCATGAAGAACTTTAAAGCTGATGCTCAGTACCTTAAATTGTACTTGGAGCGAGACTGGCAGTCAGTGTATCAAGCAGAAGTGCTGCATGGGCAAATCAGCTGGTGCCCATAACTGCTTGAACCACTGTGTTCTAGATCAGCCAAAGTTTCTGGATGGTCTTCAGGTGAGGTTCTATGTAGGGCATTTTGTAATCCAAATGGGGAGTAACCAAGGCATAAGTGACAATGGGGAAAATCACTTCCAATTTCCCTCTGATTTGTCTGTGAGCAGCAGTGAGCCATGGGAAGTAGTACTACAGTTCTTGTACATGTGAGTGCACTGGCTGAACTAAAGGGTTTTTTCTGTGTCTCCAGGTGAGCTGTTGAAAATACTTAGGGGTTTCAAGGTTCTTGCTGAGATGCTTGCCTACCTTGTAAATGTCTTAAGTACTCCTTAAAACTTTCCAAAAACTTTACTTGAATTTGCTTGGAATTCGGTAAGTTAAATTCCTCTGTAGTGGGTAAACCAGCAGATGTCACTATTGCCTTGCAAGAGGAACATTTTATTCCTTTATGTTAGGATATTGCTGAACAGGCTTTAGCTGTCTGAATTATCAACTTCTGTAGCTTTCTAAAAATGTTTGAAGCTAAATTCTTAAATTCTCAAAATACCTGAGGTTATGTCATTTGTAATCAAAAGCAGGTAGAATATTTTGTAGGTAATTTGTGCTGGAGTTTGAGTTCTTAGAAGGCTGCTTATTTCTGGATAAAGCTAATCAATCAAGGCATGTAACAATCACTAAAATAATCTTTTGAACCAGTTTGAAGGTGAGTCCTGCCTAATTTTACAATCTTTTTTGCTGCGGTTGTTAAGCAAATCTGCCTTCCCCCATTGACTTTGCTTGTTGGAAGGTCGCAAGTGGCAATCATGTGACCCTGGGACATGCGACCATTGTAAATACATGCCAGTTGCCAAGCACCTGAATTTTGATCATGTGACCTTGGGGACGCTGCAAGGACTGATCAAAAGTCGCTTTTTTCAGCGCCGTCATAACTTCAAACAGTTGTTAAATGAATGGTTGTAAGTTGAGAACTACCTGTACAGTTTTAACTATGTGGCTTAATTCACTCATGATGTGATGCCAAAATCAAGCTACATTATGGCTTACAGCAATGTATGAATCCAGAAACTATAGTTAATTCATTATATGTAAAACAAACCATGGTTTAATGGGATAGGCAAATCCAATCTGGGGGTGTTTTGATGTTTTAGGATAAAAGTGATTGTGAGCTGAAATTGGAAGAAAAATATAATATTGGATTTATACTGGTTTCTTATAGAAGAAAAATTAAAAGGTGAAATAATTTGTATTCTAGTAATCAGGATAGGTAGTTGTCTATGCAATGGAAACCTTCAGCTGGCCAGGGCAGAATGAGAATTAAGAATTAAGGCAAGGTTGGAATTTGGTAATGCTGGTAATGTTTGAAAATATGCCTATCATTTTCCAAGGATCCGTTTCTCTCTCTCCTCCATCATCCTGTTTCTAGTCAACTTGCAGCCTTTCTCCAAAGAAAATACACTAAATACATGCCAGCATTTCTCAGAAACCATGATAACCATGACAGATGGTTTTGTTAGGAATCCTAAATTCTTCAAGAACCCTAATGATAAGAGCAGCCCTGCCTGAATTTAGTAACTAGCTTTTTATTTACCCAGAGAGAGAGAGAGAGAAAGAGCAAAGACATCAAGCTCTTTCCTTCATTTTCTACTTAATAAATCCTGACAGTGCAACTTTCTATGAAGTTGAGGAAGGGTGATCACCCCTGGACATCTTACACAGGATTAGATGAGGAATGTTAACAGCTGGCAAGTGAGTGTAGAATTCTAGCCTGGAGACAAAGACCTACATGAACTGTGTGCTTATCTGGGGAGAATGGGCATTAAAAGAGGAAAGATGGTTTGATTCTCAATTGGGTCTTAATAAAAACAATATTTTTAGGCAATACCTGAAATATTGAACTCTGGCACTGAAAGCTAAAGCAATTTTTATTTCTTCAGTTTTTGAACATTCTTCTGTTACTTTGAATCCTGTAGAATTTATCACTTTGCATTACATAAATAAACTTTCAATTGGATTTTCAGGGCTGGTTCATTCATGTGGCAAAGAATGAGCCCTTCTCAGGTTTGGAAAATAGCCATTCACTCCAGCCTTCCAAAACACAATTTTCTCTAGCTACCTGCATTCAATCCATGCCACCATTGGTCTTCACCACCCCTTTCTCCTTCTTCATCTCCACTTATTGTCTGTAAAATCAAGGTCTGTCGTAAAATCAAGTTCTCACGTTAGGTTCTAATTCTGATGAGATCGCTTGCTTGTTAAATCAACCTGACTTTCTTTGAGATATGGAAGATGCAAGATATGGAAGTCTTTCTGGTGGTTGTCTTTCTTCTTTAGGTGCTCCATTGTGTCTAGATAGTTCTAACTTTAATCTCTGATATTTACAAGAAGGCTGAAAAAATTGTGCCTAAAATCCCAGAGAATTGCTGCCAGTTCAATTACAATAACAAAACCAGAGATGGTTTGGTGGCCTGATCTGGCCTTAGGAATTTCTTGAGACAGCTGCTTTGAGGTTATCTAAAAAGGGCAGACGGCACTCTCCCCCTCCCCTGAGCTGACTAACCACCAAAGCCGCGCAATGCCTCCATGAGTGTCACGAAGTACAGGTATTCTCCATGTTAAGAATGCCGGGGTTACAGATGACCCACCGTTAAGAATGGAGCCTACTGTAGCAAAATTTTAGTTAAGTACACAATGATTAGAGTTAAATACACAGTGGTTCAAGTTCATTACACAATACTACTTATACAGTATTATATGATAATACTGTTCCGGCTTACGTATAAATTTGACTTAAGGACAGACCTTGGGAACAGAACTCGTTCTTCAACTGGGTCTACCTGTAGTGCATGCATTTTTAATATACTGTACAGCCTGTTTTCAGCCGGTCATGAAAGCATTGCGCAGCTTCAGCAGTTCGAGGAAGGAGAATGCTGTCCTTGATTTTACCTCGTGAATGCCCCGATATGCAAGACATACCCCTTCCGGTATGCAAGAAGCCCATTCATAAGTATGGGTTGTCTGTAAGCTGGACATTCTTAACCTGG